GCTCCAGCCCTCGGATCATCTTCGTGGCCTCCTCTGGACCCGCTCCAACACATCCATGTCGTTCTCATGTTGGGGGCCCCAGAGCTGGACGTAGGACTCCAGGTGGGGTCTCACGAGAGCGGAGAAGCCAGCAGAGAAGCAGCTTTGCTGCTTTTTTTCCCCCAGGGTGGCTCAGCACAGAGCCAAGAGAGAAGGAAAAATGTCAGGACCGTGGTTGCCCATCTCCCCTCTGCTTCCGATCTCCCGGCTGGCCACGTCGGAGCGAGGGGCAGCTCCCTTGCGCTGGCCACCTGGCCGGGACGGCCCTGACCATGGCCCTGCTGGTGGGCCCAGGTGAGGATGTGCAAGGCTTGCAGGTGGATTTGGTCACGTCAATGATGTCAGACATGCACATGCTTTGATCAGCGCATGGGTAGGGAGAAGAAAGGCCTGCAGAGGTTAGAGGAATGGCCACGGACAATGCGAAAGGAGCAAAATGTCTGACTGACAGTGGTGTCCCCTGCTGTCCCATTCCCTGGCCATTTTCCCCTCCTCATTAGAAGCGCAGTTGAGGTCGTGTTGTTCCCTGCCAGGAGGAGGCACGATTTCAGTCTCCACCCTGCTTGCTGAAAACTCCCTGCCCTTCCCATTTCGGCCTTGGGAGCTTGCCCGGGGACACCTGACATGCGCAGAACCCAAACCCTTGTGCCAGGATCCCGTCCTTGTGCCCCACAACTGGATGGGCCCAAACCTCCTAACCACTGGCTTTATTTTATCTGAAAGAGAAGGGGAGAAATGGTACTGAGAAACGTTTTAAGCTTTTATGTGCTGCATAAGAAGAGTTTTAATTCCTCGGGATGCATGGCTGTTGTGTCGGGTGATACTGGGGGTGGGAAGATGTCAGCAGCTGGTTTTGATTTAGAAGTTCCTGCAGCATTTGCAAGCCAGCTGTGGTGGCACAGTGCTGACGGCTCGGTGCCGATGCCTTCGTGCGTTGCTGCGGCGCGATGAACAGGAGGAAATAACGGGGGGAGAGCGCGGTGGGCTGTGACACATCCTTCTGTTGTAGCGATCCAGGAGGCGGCTGTTGGCACAGGTAAGGAGGGGGGATGGAGGCTCGCGACCCGTGAGCCCTGAACGCGGGGGACACGGGGAGCGGTGCTCTCCGGGCAGGAGGACACGCTGCCAGAGCCCGCGGGGCTGCAGCAGGCACCGTTCCCGCAGCATGGGGTGGGGTGGCCCGGGTCAAGTGTTGGGATATGGCCATCGTGGAGGGCCATAAGGAGGGACAGCACGGCCAGCGAGTTGTCATGAATGTGGTTTACAACATGGAGCGTCGGTGTCTGAAAGTTTCCCTGCCCTTTCCCAGCAGGGTAGGACAGAGGGGCAGCGGCGGGCTCTCCATGTCGGCCGCACGCAGCGAGCACGAGGTGTCGGAAATCATCGACGGGCTCTCAGAACAAGAGGTGAGACCGGGTTGTCCTTTGTCCTCCCTTTCTCCCCTCACTCCACACTTCTCCAAGGAAGCCAGGAGAGTACCACCAGGTCTCACACCAGGTCCCACAGTGAAAGCTGATACCAAATCCCACTAACTTCATGCCACACTGAGCTTGGGGAGGTTGCCATGATGCCTGATACACTTTCTGGACAGGATCCAGAGTGAGAAGTTCATTGAATACCCAGCAGCATCTTTCCAGCCACCTGAGAGACGTAACGGAGCTGTGCTATGGTTCTGCAGGAGCAAAACAAGGAGCAAAGCTGGTGGCCAGTGGGTTTAGCAGCGTTCGACTGCCTTGTAGGGACCTGAAGCCCCGGCGTGCTGCTCATGCTGGGTAGCACCCCACAAACACCTCCTGGCTGTGGGTCTGAACTGGAAGTGGAGGTGGGAAGGGAAGGGAGCCAGCGCCCTGGCTGCCGGGTGGAGGGGTTTTTCTGTTTCATTTTGTTTTGAATGGGCTGTGTGGCTTGACACAGGGGAATCCTATGGAATGAATGGTTTGTACGTGAGCCAGTTGGCCCACATCTTCTGGGAGTGCTCCATTCATCTTGAAACATCCCCGTGACCTTGGCTTCGTTTGGATCTGGTTTCACAAGGGTTCTGCTCTCTTGGCATGGAGGCGAGCTGCAGTGCGTGGATCGCGTTTGGGAGGGGAGAGCAGCCATTGCCCAGCAATAGCTGAGATGTTTGCTGCCTGTGCGCCGCGGTTCGCCCCCTGCCCTGGGTCCCGGGCACTTTGCTGTTAGCCAGCTAAGGCAGCGACCTGGAGGACACGGATCTTGGAAGCAGAGGGCAGTTTCGCAGCTCTGCAGAGATTGTGGCCAAGGGGAGCGTTAGATCATTGCCTCTGCCCCGCTGCGCAGCGTGCTGCTGTGCTTCACCCCTTCCTTCTGCTGAGCCCCAAGGCACCGCTTCGCTTGTCTCGGAGGAGACCTCAAGAGCTTCCAGCCCTTCCGCGGGGTCGGAGGGAGCAGGGAGGTGAGAGCTGAGGAGCATCGCTGGTCTCAGCACCCCGAGACCCTGCCAGGCGAAGGGGGCTGCCGGGGCTCTGCACAGGGGCTTTCCCCTTTTGGCTGGGGCTGCGCTTGTCGGGATCAGTGCTCTGGCCTCGAGCTGTCCCAGACCACCCATGACGAGATGACAGCCCCGGGGCATCCAGAGCAGCCGGCTGCTGAACGGGAGGCATCCTAGTGAGGATGAGGAGCGTGATGAAATGGGATGAAATGTCCGTGTCTGTGCCGAGGGCTGTGTTCTAGGCAGAGGAGGTTGGAGCTGATCGGTCGCAGCGGGGAAGCAGAGCGGTGCTGGGGAGGCCTGAGTCGGCAGCTTGCTGGAAGGATTGGACATTATTGTTCTCCAAGAAACCAATGTCTAGCTGTGAATTAAAAGAACAGCACTTGAGACTTGGCCTTCCTGGGTCAAGGGTTGGGATTTATGTCTGACCAGTGCCATCCCAGGTGACAGGGAGGCCTCAGCGTCGTGGGGCTGCTAGCAAATAGAGGAGGGTGGTCAGAGCATCCCTTCATCCTCACAGGGTGGACCTGCGCCAGGGGACCACCAGCAGCTCAGCCGAAGGGATGGTCCCAGCATTCGGGCGGGGAACGGGATAAACAAGACATCACATTGGCCGCTGTGTTGCAAATACTTTGGGAAACCAGTGTGCCCAGTCTGTCCTGTCCTGGTGTGCAGCCGGGGCTCCGGATGAACTTTGTGCTTGAAAAGGATGGAGTGAAGGCGTCAGATTATGTCCCAGGGTGATGCAGTGAGAGGAAAGAAAGGCACGACAGCCCTGTCACGGTGATGTTTGAAACCTCCTGGAACAAGATTAGGTTTCCTGTGGAAGGGAAGCGCAACACCTCCCTCTGCCCACCCTCTCAGCAGCTTTGCAGAGCTGACCCGCTCCCGTCGCAGTTCGGCGTGGGGGGCTGGAGCTCCACGTGGCCGTGGGTTTGACGGCTGGGAAGGGGTTTGCATTCCCTCTGCCACCGCTGCTTTGGCTTGTCTCTCGTCATGGTCAGGAGCTGCTTTGCTCAAGTCAGACATTTCCACGTGGTATCTTAAAGCCTTTTATTTCAAAATGAAAGATTAATTGTTTCCTGGCTGACAGCGATAGCCTCTTTCAGCGTTTAATTTACAATTACTCTAGCAATAAAGCTGTCTAGTGCTTGCTTTAGAATTCTCCGGTTCCTCCGCCTGTCCTTTCCGCTCGAACATCTGTCCCCTGCGGTCCCTGCGGGCCCGTGGTGCTGACCAACTGTTCTCTCTGCTTTCCCCAAAGAACCTGGAGAAGCAGATGCGCCAGCTCGCCGTCATCCCGCCCATGCTCTACGACGCTGACCAGCAGCGCATTAAATTCATCAACATGAACGGCCTCATGGATGACCCCATGAAGGTCTACAAGGACCGGCAGGTGATGAACATGTGGAGTGAGCAGGAGAAGGAGACCTTCCGGGAAAAGTGAGTGCAGCCCACCCACCTCTCTTTCCACAGCCCTTGGGAAGTGCGAGGCAGGACCCGTGCAGTGCTTTGGCCGGGGCCCCGGCACGTTAAGGCGTGGATTTCCTGAGGGCTTGTCTTGTTCCCTGGGGACACAGCCGCGGTCGTTGCGTTGCCCTCACCCTGGGCACAGGTGATGAACCTCTGCAGAAACCCCAGGCCTTTCTGCGTGGTTGGTGTGTTCATGCCCACGTGCTCTTGCTCTGCAGAGTGGGAAGCTGCTGCTCATGACAGGGTGAGAAGTTCTTCTGCTTCTACATCCTCTGTTTTATCAGCCAGTTTAAGGATAAAGCCAGTGAAGCTCAATGCTCCTGTTACGTTTTTGGATTTACATGCCCGTCCTTTGGCACTGCGTGTCCGGAGGGATTCTTGGGGCTGTCAGCATCCAACCCCCCGTGCAGACCCCTCCCTCAGCGCTCCGTCCTGCTTCCCGCAGGGTTTGCCACCAGCTGCTGTTTCCGTGGATGCGTTCCCACACCAGACACGTGCAAACTCCGGCTGCGGTGCGTTCTCCTGTTCGCAAGCAGTGCTTGAGAACAGCTTCGCTTTACTGGCTGAGGTGGCTCGGGGAATTGCGGATTCCCTGGGTACCACCGCGGTGTCTCAGTCTCGCATCCAGACTCCTCCAGATCTCATAGGCCAGCAGGGACCCGGTTGTGTTTGCGTGGAGGACTGGGGCGTCGTTGGTGCCCCCAGTGTGCCCCGTGTGTCTGTGAAAACAGAGCTGGAGTTCAGCTCCAGCAGGATGAGCTCTGCCGGGGCTCGCTGCTCTGCACGTGGAGGTACGGGGTGCGCCAGGGCCACCTCGTCCCTTGCAGCAGCACCGCTGTAGTCTGGCCTCTGGACCATCGCGGGATGGCTCCCTGGATTACCAGCAAGCCCACGGGCAGCCATGCTGGAAGCCTCTCCGTGTCCGGGATCGCTCCTGTCCCTGCTCGTGACGACTCCTGTTAGCGGCTGAAATAATAAAGTGCCAAGACGGACCGAAAGAGAACAAAACAAGCAAACCAGCTCCAAGGCTTTGGTAGAGGAGAATCCTCATTGCTAATTAGCCTTAAAATGTAACACTCCAAACAGCAAGGCTTGCCCACGAATGACGCAAAGCCTAATTACTCGGTCTTTAATGGCGGGGCCGTGCCTGGCTAATGGGGCTGGAGGAATCCACACCCAGCTCGTGCATCCTGCTGTGCACGGTGGTTTCTGTGTCAGCGCCGTGGGTGATGCAGAGCCCGAGGCATAAATACAGCAGGGTTCAGCTCTCACAAAGCTCGTTTTAAGAGATTGGTGCTTAGGAGCTGTAAGGAGGGCCAAGGGAGTCCTGCCCTGGCTCTCGCCCCGATCCCGGTGTGCGGGTAACCGAGCTGCCCGGAGTGCTGCAACTTCTGGCCTGGGGTTTTAAGGTGAAGCAGAGTTGGGTCATCCACAATCATGGCCCAGAGCTGGCCTCTTCCTGAAAACCTGGTGCAACCTTCTCTTCAGCCTTGGTGGCAGGGGCTCTCGGAGAAAAGAGCCGGGCACTGCAGGGCTGACAAGCTCCAGGTCTGAACTGTTTTAGCTGTTAAAGCGACGAGGAAGAGTCTGGTTCAGTTTGCTTCTGGACAGGGTTTCAGGTCTCTTTGTCAAGAGCCCATCGCTAGCCTGCTCCCAGGGGCACCGTGGTTTGCCGGTGAAGGAGCGGGGATGGCTGTGGTACCCCTCGATCCCACTCGGCCATCAGGCCCTGTTTGCTGGGCACTGTGAGAACCCAGCATCCGTCCCTCGTCATGGGGACACGGCCTGGCCTGTCAAAACCAGCAAATTGTCATCTGCGTTGCCCCCGACACTGTGTTAGCACCATTGATAAGGTGGCCTTGAGAGCCCTGTCCCTTGGGCAGCCCTTGGCCCGTGCTGCGTATGGCGTGACGAGCCAGCGCCGGCCCTGTGCACTGGTCACCGTCTGTCTGAGCAGCCTGGCTGCTTTTCTTCCTTTTTTTTCTTTGCATGGTATTTATGATTTCTTTTTTCTTTTTCTTATTTATTCATTCATGTGTCTTGGGGGATCTCCCTTGGTGTCTGCGTTACACCTGGGAGTGAGTTTTACCCTTCAAGACAGTGGCAGGAAGGCTGCAGCTGGCCACGGGATAGGGACTGGGGACCCTGTTAATCGTGCGAGCATCACGCTCCCGCTGCTGTCCACGGTCCCACGTCCCCCCCATCCCACACTGTCACCCACAAAAGCCTTGTGCTGGCAGCAGCAGAGATGAGGTCTCCTTGCTGTGGTGACCAGTTACAGGGTTCTTGCAGAGCCACCCAAACCAGGTGGGGGTCCTGCATCAAGAAGGGCATCGGTGTGTGGGTGACAGCACCCATGTCCTGCTGCCATGGAGTCGGTCAGGCCCTCGCTGGGCTCAGCTCGGTGCCCTGACCCTGAGTATGGCAGCAGGGCTCAGCAGCGAAGGCGGGAGGAGAGAGCTCAGCCAGCAGCCCCGGGGCAATCACCAGCAGGGCTGGAGGCACCGAGCTG